CATTTCTTTAAATACAACAAAATGATGTGAAATGCATCTTTAAGTTCTTGAGAAAAGATTAATTTGCAGGTAAATTGATTTGAGATGGTTCAAAAAAAAAATGTTCTACTTCTATAGAGATTAGTTTCACTAGATTTTTGTTTTTGTTTTGTTTTGTTTTTTTCTTTTTTCTTGTGTAATTTTGCTAGCTCAAGGGGCAAGGATCATGTGCGGTTGTACACGGTAAGATAGAAAGTTTGACTGAACCAAACAAAAATAAAGTACATATTGATCGAATTTCGAGAGTTCTATGCCGTCCGATAATTTTCGTGTTGGCTGAACATGTTACTAAAAGAGTGGGATGACAGCCGACTAACCAAATTTGCTTTATTGTTAATGTTTTTTTTTTTTTCTTTTTTCTTTTTTCTTTTTTCTTTTTTTCCGGTACATGACTTTTAATCTTAGTTAGTATTCCGTGTGCTGGCTAATGCTCTCTAATTCAATGGCACTCGTGATGCAAATATTCTTCTTAAACCTCGTCTTAAAATATAATTATGAAGTAATTAATTATTAGTTAATAAAAATTTGAAACTATATATGTTCTCAATATATAAGAGAGCTGAAACTTTCATTAATATTTTACATTGATCACAGAATCATAAACAATACCGTAATAATAATTGGACAATAGTCAGAGACACACTAGTACTTTAGACGGTAGACAACACAAAGCCAGCATTCCTGTACACAAAAACCGAACAGACAAGCAGTTACAGAAAGCATAATGGAGGTTATTAAGGGCTAATGGATAGTATCTTACAATATACTAATAACTCTAATTTCTGAATACGATTTTGTAGGGCGGAGCTTCAGGATTGAGATGGTCTTTTTCTTTGTAAAGGCCGATCCAGCTACCATCTCCAATGCCTTTGCTACTCACAAAATCTTCCCAACCTTGACCACCGAGATATGACTGACCACCGGCCGATTTGGTCAACTGAAAATTCCATTGTGTATTGGTCTCATCGGTCTCATCTCTAACGACGATTTGAGGTTCTTCAAATTTTGTACCTCTGGGAAGCTTCAATTTTTTTTTACCAATGTCAGTTTGGTCGACTGTCTTCTCAAAGATCCTACCCATTGCTACGGTTGGGTGTTGGCTACGTACAAATGCTTTGAATTTGAGAGTTTGTGGAATGCGGACCCTTTTAGATATCCCTGGGGTATTTATAGCTCTCATGGATAATTCTATTGGCATTGTATTCACATGCGTGTGGGTTGACTTTACTAAATAACGGGTGGTTATCGGTCGGGACTATCATTTTCAACACAAGCTTGCGGTGAGTTCTTGCGACACAACGTTGCGATAATTAGACGTATGGATGGAGTTCACTCTCAAATTCCAACATAAATTTAAGCTAGTAGTTCCGTATAACATAATGTAATTAGAGATAGATATTAATCTACCTGTTCTATCTGCTGACATCCGCGCTACCTGGCACTCTACTTCGCACGGACAATGTTTATGTTTAATTTCATGGACTCTAGTTATTAATTACTATAGTATATTAATCTGGTAGTTAGGATTTGATTCTACTTAATCGTATGAATTGAAAGATTCAAACTCATAGCATTTTTAGCACATTTTTTATGTTTGGAGCTCCTTAATAGTCATTTTTGTATGATTTCATACTTTGGGAATGTAACTTATTAATAATTTGGGTTAGTTAATATTTATTAATTTAAAAAAAATTAATTTGAGATTAAAATTAAAATTTTAAAATTTTGTATTGCTAAATAACTTTTTTTTTTAAAAGAAAAAAAAATTTTATTATATGAGTACAAGGAGTACTCAAACACATGGACACCAGTGCATGAAATTACATGTAGACGATGGAGTCAAAACAAAATCACCCAGCAGTCCAAAAATATAATCCCAAAATCTAACTACTCCCATCGAGTCTCTATTTCCTATTTGTCAAGTATCTCACTGGATTAGAAATCTATTTCATGAAATTAAGGATTTAAGAATACTATTTGTATTTATTTATAATACCCTTAAAAAGAAATAAAAGATTAAAAAAAAGGTTTTATATAATTGAATTATTAATTAAAATGAATAAATAATGATAGAGTTAAAATAAACAAAAATATTTGTTTATCTTGAAAAATAAAAAATAACAATTAATTTAAGATAAATTAAAAATTAAAAAATAA